ACCCACCCACCCCGCCTCTGACTCCCTGCCAGACTGTGCCCCACACCCCCACCTGCCTGATTCTGCCTCTCCCCCTACCTGTAGCAGCAGAGGAGGTGGTGGTGGAAGCTGGCCAGCAGCGGGGTCCGGCAATGGTGAGGAAGTGCCATTACCTGCTGGACAGGGTAACGCAAGTGGGCTGCAAGCAGCACCCACCACCCCTCAACCGTGACTCGCTCTACAGGTCCAAGAAACATTACACAGGCTTAGTGTTTATACTGTTTGACTTTATGTAGTTAGTTTGTTCTAGATATATTTAGAAGAAAGCCTGTAAACTGAGGTTCATACTCTTCAATGTTAATAAAGTTCACAAAATTACACAAAACTTGACAAAAAAGTGAATTCTGGAGGGATCTGGTGCAATGAGCAATTAAAAAAGCCAAAAGAAACCAAATTACTGACCACTGCACATATAACCAAGTTTCTGCACCATACACACAAACCATGTTGGATGAGGGGACAACTGCATATAAAGCCTTCCTCACAAGCTTTGCCTTTTAGTCAAATTTTATCCTTCAACTGAGCAGGGTTCTAACACCTTACTGCAAATGATTACCATCTTCAGCAGCACGTGCATTTTTATTGCTTTCCATTTGTAAAAAAAATTCAAATCCTTTTTGAAACATCAAAAACCTATAGTATTCAGAAAACCTTTACAAAGCAGTTAGCTTCTCATTGTACGGTTCATGTGTGAATCAGCTGTTTAGTGTTTATCCTCCATCCATAAGCACAGGCTGCATCATAACCACAAGTAGCTGGCAGTATATCATTTAAGATGTAAATCACAACCCTGCCCCATTTCATACTTTTTCCACCAATCCAAAAGTTACTGAACCATTGTGTGGGTTAATTCTATTTCCTTGTTCTCATGGATTTACAACAGTATAATGCATATGTAACAACTCTCATCGCTTTAGACCAGCATTTCTCAACCTGTGGGTCACAATCCAAAAGTGGATCACAATAATATATGAAAGCAGTACAAACTTTAAAGGTGGATCAACAAACTTTAAAAATGGATTCTCCTTTAAAGGAGAAAAATGTGGGAAAACTGTAGTTTTTCCCTTGCAGGCTGTCAGAGTTCCAGCCTGCAAGGGGCTGCTTGGGTCCCCCCTATGCCCCAGACACCCACCCCCTACCCCAACACACTGGGGACCTAGGGCCTGGGAGCAGCAAGTTGGGAGTGAGGGGCACTGGGCTGGGACTGGCCACTGATGTTTACAAATGGGCCCCGATACAATAAAGGTTGAGTGCCACTGCTTTACACTGTAAAGCTGTATTGTGCGCGCAGGGGTAGGTCCACTTAATGAGTTTTGGTGAGCTGTTGAGGGCTGCAGACCAAATCTGTTATAGGATACCATTTTAACAAATTATAGCTAAAAACAAAACATACTAAACATTAAACATCTACTATAACATTTTAATTTAAGTTAAAAAATTATATATGTTGCCCTCATTTATGGTTTTTTGAGCAGCAGAGGTGATTGCATAATAGCTCAAAATAGTCTTACTCTTGTACACTGTATGCAGGTGGGAGGAGGGGTGGACATGTGGAGAGGTTAGCACAGGGGTGGGTGTGGGGGGCTGCCCATGCTCCAAGTCCCAGAAGCCAGTCAGGGAGGCAGGGGGCACATGCAGCAGAACTTGCCCAAGCAGTGCAGAGGTGGTTCACCTCCCCCTGCATCTGGCCCACAGCTGCTCCTGCAGCTCTCTGTATTGGGTCAAGCCCTGCTTGCTCCTGTCTGGGGCTACCTGCACCATGTTCCTACCAGCCCCAGGTCTGGCCAGTGCACACAACTTCTTGGTGGAGCTACTCCTGATGGGGCTGCAGCTGTCTTAGTATTGCTCAGCTCCCCCTGCCTCCAGCAGCTCTTCCTCTTCTTTCTGCATTGCTCTGGGAAGCAGGTAGCACAGGGAAACCATGGGGACACATGCCAGGCAGCAGACACCCAGCCAAGCAAAGAGGAAGCTGCAGCTCTGGTGCTCCTGCTCCAGTGCGTGGGGCTCCAGCTCCCAGCTGCTTTTCACCCACTCCAACCACCTGGCATGATGAGCAGCCACCTGCAGTAGGTTAAAAGGTGGCTGGAAGCTGGAGCCCTGTGTGCTGGGAAAGAAGCCAACCAGCTGCAGCTCCCCACCCTCCCTAGCTCACCATATGGTGCCCAGCATACATCCCCACAGCTGCCATCGCTTTCCCAGTGCTACCTGGTATGGTGCAGCAGGGGCAAGAGAAAGCTGCAGGAAGTTTGGGGGGGGCAAGCAGTACCTGGGCAGCTCCAGCTGCACTGGGAGCAGCCTCACCAAGAAGCTGTGCAAGCTGGGCCAGGGTAAGCAGGAGTATGGTGCAGGTTGCCCCAGGTGGGAGTCAACAGGACCCCAGGCCAAATACAAATCAACAGGGCAGGCACCCATCTGTGGGCCAGATCCAATCAGTAGTTGGGCTGAATCTGGCCCACAGGCCATAATTTGCCTACCCCTGTTCCAGACCCAGGGTTGTGCTGGAAGGAGAGGCCATTTCAACTCTTTTGTGGGTAACATATGCAGACATACTGCACTGATATTCTAATATGGCAATTCAAATTGGATTATATAAAAAACTTATCTGCTTTCCTTATGCCACTGACTCTACCAAAAGGTATAACATGGCCAGGCACCCACGGCAGCTCCCACCTGCAGAGTCAGCAGCAACTTCCAGCTACTGCCACTGGCAGCAGAATTATATGGTTGTAGTGGCAACCCTTTTTCCTTATTCCCTTGTTGCCTCCACCTCTTCAGTTGGTACTTGGAGCATCTGCCCTGGCCACCTCTCCCTGGTTGCATCACTGGTAATAATGACGAGTGACGTTTGTTTTAAAACTACTGAACAGCACTAAACTGAATCTCTACACTGAGATTTGTTTTTAAGAACTGGAGAAGATAAAAGCAACTGTTTGAGTTGTTGGGATTCTTAAAATAATGTTTTTTTCTTAGCTGCAACTCACCTGTTCAGTTTCCCAGACACATCCTTGTCATTCATAAAGCATTCAATATTCAAGGGAATATCTGTGCTGTTGGAGCTCATTAACTTCTTCAGTTTCTCACACTCCTGGTATAGACGAAGAAGTGCTCTGATTCTGGATTTTGGATCCAATTTGTACCTTGCTTTTATTTCTGCACAAAAGTGGTCCACTAACTTTTCATCGAAGTTTCTTCCACCTAGGAAGGGGTCAAAGGCTGTGCCAAGCACCTGGTTTGAAAGAACATAATCGTTTTGGTTTTACATTTGATGGCCAGCTAGAACACTGCTTGTTTACCAATACCAGCTAGTCATTTCATAACAAGCAGAACACTGGCTTACTTGTTCCGATTTGCAGACTTTCAGAATCAGTCAATCATATCAGTAGAATTTGGTCTTTACCTATGAAGTGGAGGCAAGCCTATATTTAAAAAGAAGCTAGATGACAAGCCAGCATATTAAGGGCTTTCATCCGTGTATGTCCACACAGTATGACAACCTCAGTGACAGCACTCCAAGTAAGAGTTCAAGCCACTTTCATTCTCAATATAATGCAATACAAGCAGACAATACTAAGAGAACTAGAATTTTTAATCTTTGTAATCACAGTACCACTTTCCATGCATTTAATACCTACTTCCAAAGTTTTGTTTACACAAAGGTATACAGCTGGAACTTAGTCTTGAATATTCTGTCACTGCCCAATATAATGTTCTAAGGTGGCCAGCAAGTAAGGCTTACTGCTGTATTTCATTACATTTCACATATTTAGATTGTAACATACAGAAGTTAGCTTTCTAAAAGCAGTTTGTCATCCACTTAAGTTATATGTTCCACCTCCCCCAAGACACAGCTTAATTCACAATCTGCAGCAACCCCTGCTGATCAACAGAGAGAGATGTTTTTCAATTTAGGCATGTTTTAGTGGTGATACAGGGTTTTTTCAGTCTTTACTATACTTTACACTGCCAAGCATTATAAAATGCAAATGGGCATATCAGATTTGACTACCTTTAGCTTACTCTTGTTAAAAGCACAGGCCAATACTTGAAATGCAGAATGTCCCATGTCCACAAACACTACTATCCGTGGTTTCTCTTCTGGAGCTGGAAGGTCTTGTTTATAAATTCCATAGTTCAGAGCCACTGTAAAGCAGGAAGCGTTCAAGGTTATCTATCAGCAGAATC